TCTTCTATAATAATGCTGGACAAAGAAATTGCAGATAAGATTGGTGTACGAGGAAAAAATAATCAGTTAAATATTCATATTCGGAGCCGAGAAGAAGAAGAATCATCAACCTCAAAACTTTTATGCAGTGTCTTAAAGACCTTGAGTAAAGAGGAAATAACAGTTAGTATGGGTACTTCACCGCACCGTACAACAATATAGTGTCGAAGTTGTTAATTGGACTGGACCATGCCCATCTAGGGCTACCATCTAACCTCGATTTTTCAAATACGCCTGGACCATATACCAAATTAGATTGGGTGGAATTTAGACCATGCAAATCACTTTATTCCTCATTGAAATCGTGCCTTTTCAGCCATATTGAGGTAGAACATGAAATTCATAAATTGATTCAAGATTATGTTAATATTGAAATATAGGTGTAACAGGCGCCCCTTCAGTGGAATCTGATGCTGCTATAAGAGCAAAGTGAATTCTTCATGAATCGACAAAACGAATTGGAAACCGGTTCCAAGCAGGCCTATCGTGAAAATCCGATCGAGTAGATGTCAGATAGCCATTCTAAAAGGAACAGGACGAAAATTTCAGCCTACAGAGAAATAATAAAATATTACATCAAAAATAATTACGTTCGGAAAGTTATGCCGGAGGATATAAGCTTAAAGTCTAATTGAAAATGAAAAGTTAATATTAGTTTTCAAGCTGCCGCCAAAGTAGAGAAATTGCTGTCAGCGCAGACATTCGCGAAATGTTTCATCAAATTAAAATACAGGCGAGCAACAGAATATCTCAAAGATTTTAATGGAGAGTTGGTAATCACCTTTGGAGCCGCCTGCTCGCCGTGTTCTGCCTTACACGTTATGAGGACCAATGCCAGAGAACATGTTGATAATCATCCCAGAGCCATAGCAGTGATTTATTGACATCGCTATATGCACGAGTTCATCAAGAGCTTTGGTTCGATTGAAAATGCTATTGAAATTTCGAAACAGGTTTGAGAAATACACAAAAATGGAAGTTTTGAACTAAGAGGGTATAAACTTCACCCTGGCTCTAGATGGCAAATCTTCGTCTAAAATAATTTCTAAAATGGATTTCTAGTAGACACAGAAATTATAAGTCGTATGTTACACTGTTGCAGTAAAATAGATTTTTCCTATCATCTCGGAGAGTAGGTAGTCCGGAATTCCCGAAGCTTCAAGAAAATGAATGGCCAAGTTACAGCTCCGCTACTCCTGTGGCTGAGGAGGCAGATCCATAGTTAATTCGCCCAAGAATTACGCTCTTAATCATTAAAAATGATTTTGTAAAATATGAACGCTTTTCGTTATATTGCCGACAGAAAAGAGTGATAACTCTCAAGTCTTTCGATTTATAAACATATGCCGAGAAAATATTAGTGAAAATGTTCGACATGGTCTGACTGCCCGAGATTTAGAAATAGCTGAGATGACCTTTTGCCAACAGTTCCAAATTACTGTACATTGGCAAGTTTAACGCCGTATATTGATAAAACTGGCCGTATTATATTGTCTGAAGACTAAACTCGAGAAATGAAACATCAGAATCATGAAGCAACTGTCTGTTAGATCAGAAAGAAGTTTTGGATTCCGCATTTAAGGCGTCTTTTGAAAAGTGTTGCATCTTGTTGTCTTACATGTCGAAATATTAAGAAAGTACTGCATCACTCGATCTAGGAAATATCTCCCAAAGAGCATATCCTGCCATCTCTCCTGATTGAAGCGTAACATATTGTTAATTCTAGGCACTTAAATCATGTGCCTGTGAGTCCAGATGAAGATGAGCCATTTACTTCGAATCACTTTGTAATAAGTTATTCGAAAATTCCAGAGACTCCTTTCAGCAGTGAAAAGCTATCCCACCTGAGAATACAGTGGCGAGTTGTAGAAGTTTAATAGACAGATTTTGTAAACGTTGGGTGCTTAAATATTCGTCGACTCTGACCAGAAAAGTCAAGTGGTGTGAGTACATGAAACCTATAAAGGAATGAGATGTTGTGTTCGTATGTGATCCTAATGTTTCACGAAATCAATAGCGGAGAGGTTTGGTCACACGTAGCGATGGAGTCGTACTTAACGTTGATGTCAAGACTTCCACTGGTGAGTGGCGAAGGGCTGTCTCAAGGATGGTAGTCCTGGACCTAAATGAGGGTGGAACTGGTCACTCCACGGAGGAGGAAATGTCGCTGAATATCCAATTGTGTTCCAGCTGATCGTCGTTTATTTACTGTATCTATCGACAGTAATCGATCATTGTGAATGACACTTGTAAGCCTGGGGTTTGCATTCCTCTTTGTCCTTCATTTACATTTTATGATCATTTCTATCGATGGAATTATGGTTTGTCTGCTTGCCGTCAAGTGAGGGAATGCAAAAACTGCGGTAAGTCCGTTATTTGTTATGATTATCGTATGTATGTAATAGTGTTTTTTCTTATAGAAATAAACGTATATGTTTTTTACTAGCACGATAAAGCAAAACTCCTCGCTTCAGAGTTTATTTAGTTGCAGCCGCAGCAGTTCACATTAATTGATGTAGATCATTATAATTTGGCACAATAGTTATATTGTGAAATACACTATATATGTAGGTCCACGTTTTCCTATAGCCCCCATATGACGGAACCTTTGGATATTCGGCACTTTGACGATATAAGACACATTTTCTAACAAATATTTCCTAAATGTGGTATTTGCAATTCGTAATGTGTTTTCGCTCTGGTGACAGAATATTGTTTACATAAGTCCACGTTTTCAGCGTCCATATAACGATACCTTCGGATATTAGGTACTTTGACGATGTAAGCCACACTTGTTGTAGAATTTCTGTAAAATTTGGTATTTGTAGTTCATTATGGGTTCTACTTCCGGTTGTCAGAACATTGTATATATTAGTCCAAGGTTTCCAATTAACAGTAGCCACCAATATTCGGTATTTCGATGATCCTTACCAAATTTTCCTTTTTTTTACTTTTCTTTAAAAATCTTTTCAATTAGGTTTCCAGAAACATTTATATAAAAACTAGCTGGCCCGGTCCGCGTTGCCGGCCCGTAATTTTAGTCTTTAATGCTATTATATCCTCCACCTTGGAAAGGAGGGTATATTAACTTTTCATTCCATTTGTAACATCACTAAATGTTCGTCATAGACCCCATTAAATATGCATATATATTCATAATCAGCATAAAACTCTAAGTCGATTTGTCCGTCTGTATGTCTGTTTGTTTAAATTACGATACAGCCCACATTATTTGACGTATAGCGTCAAAATTTAGCTGAAAAGTCAAAATTTAGCTGAAACGTCAAAATTTAGCTGAAAAGTCAAAATTTAGCTGAAACGTCAAAATTTAGCTGTATAAGATGGTTGGTATTGAAAATGATCTATCGATTCACGTTTTGGTATAGTCCCCATATAATGTCTAACACATATAACGATACCTACCTATATTGGGTATGTTGATAATCCACACATTTACGCGTATAATTGTTTCAAATTTGGTATTTTAGAAGGTTTGATAGATGACAATCCTTGAAGTATAAAATTGTCCACAGAGGTTCACGTTTTGGTAGGGCCCATATAACGGCCTCATTCACTTTATGGTTTCATCATAAGTTAACTGTATTATCCAAACAGTCTTACTGGTATATGAAGTTTAAAGTGAAACACGCTTGAATTTAGATACTTTTATATAAAAATGTTTCCTTTACCCTCAGATGGATGATAGTAATAATTCTGCCTGGCCGAACTTAATTTTTTTAATTGTTTTTAAAGTAATATGAATTATTTGCCATTGAAATTGCGCGTTGGAGACCCCATATTTTCCATATCTTTTATCATAGCATAATTCAAAGACGATTAAACAAATCATATGATGGTTATACAAAACGTGATCAGTTTTTGCATGGATGTTTTTTTTTTTTCAAATTACCAACATTTGCCGAAATTAGTATGAAAATATGGTTAAAATGTAAGATATACTTGAAATCGGGTATCCTTATCCGGGGGTTATGACCCATATAATGAACTTCAAAATGATTTAAGGTATCGTGAAAGTTTAGGAAGAATTTCTGAAAGAATAGAAATTCTTTTCCCTTTATATTCGATATTTCACTGATTGCAGTCCCAATAAATTTTGCATATTGAGTTCTCATTGGACGGATTATTGTCATGTGATAAAAGTAGGTAGGTCCACGTGTTGAAATGAGCCCCATAACGTTTTGACGGTTATTTTTGTTTATTTAAATGTGTTCGCATCTCCAGCTGAAGCACGATGTAGAACCTGGAGTTGAAAGCTAAATGCCAATTTCAGACATGAAATGTCGCCATTTAACATCTTATTGCGTACTATTTCATTTTTGATATTATTCATTCAGAATTCAAAACAATAAAAAATGTACACTTCTATATAGTTTTTGAATTGAAAAAATTTCACACCAAAAGGATTTTTTCTTTTATATTTTTATTGACATATTTTACGCAATTTTTTTTGCAAGATTCCATTCCAAAGTTGTATGAATTGTGAAAATCCGTCAAAACGTTCTTGAGTTATAAGCATGGTAACTAAAAAACAAATTGAAAAAATATTCAACTCGTTCGCTGGTTCTTTACAGCCAATATTTAAAGGTCCTTACGAAGTTTGGTCTTTACTATTAATTTGAAATTTGATTCCATTAAAAAAATGTTCTCAGGTTTTCCCTATTTTATAGTTTTTGCAGTGCAATATGCTCTTTTTTGATTTTTTGCAATTTTGATTTGACCGCGTTAAATTATTTTGACATCATCTATTCAGTTCCGCCACTCCATAATTTTCTTCGATTTCTACTACCCAAAAAGACTACACATCATATTAGAATTAAAAAAAAAAAACACTTCAAATGTAAGTTAGACCTTTCTGAGTTAAGGTCTCAAAAAAACGAGATACTTGTCAAAAGTACCACGGACACTGTCTAATTTAAAACAAACGTTTAATTTTGGTTTGTCGAAAACCGCAACTTGACGTTTATTCACGAAGTTCACTGACAGAGTGATTTCGTTATCTGTTTATTATTTGGAAGAGACTTATTTTAATACCAATACAAGTTTACATTATTTTGCTTACGATACTAAATTCCTTTTGCATTTATTTAATTTATTAAATTTCCATTGAACCTGATTTACTGTAATACCAATACATGCTTACATTATTTTGCTTACGAAACTAAATTCATTTTCTTTTATTTAATTTATAAAATTTCCATTGAACGTTGCGAAAGCGTTGCAGTTAACGTTTTTGCAATTCAAGCCAGATATTGCACTTTTGATATAGAACGAAAATGTGTTTGAAATGAAATGAAAGAAATTCGTGGTAATTCTGTCTGCACGCGCCAAGTATCTCTTGGGTTTAACAGGTTAACTACCGGATGTGCAACTTTGAGTTGATGAAATATTTTCGTGTGAACTGTATTTACATGTGCCAAATATCTTTTGAATTTATAACATATTGTGTGTTAACTCCTCCCCCTTTAAAAACGATTGTCCTCAATCGTTAGAAGTAAGGTAGATCGTCTATTTTTTGTGGCCTCGGCTCGTGCAATTTTGTTCGAGCAACTGGGGCTTGTATTAATTCATGGGTAGGAGCTATTGTATGAATAATTACTTTTTCTCTTTTTTTTGTAAAGAGCCTTATTAGAACAAGGCAAATAGCAAAAAGGGTGAATAAAGAGAACGTGGTATATTTAGTAACAACAGAGTCTGACTTGAGTTCATGGATGGACTTGGTATTATTAATATGCAAGTGGTTTAACATTTCCAAGGATAGTAGGCTTATGAATTCATCTTCAACCGGCGTTTGTTGAATTGTTGGTGGAGAAACTTCCAAAAGTGGAGCTTCTAAATTTCTGTAATATTTGTCGTTTATTCGCAATGTAGCGTTGTGGAATTTGATTAAAAATGTTCCATTAACCGTATCATTGTTTATTTTTCCAATAAAATCGTTAAGAAGAATGATACCGGGTGAGATATTTTCTATTTGGGGTATATGGTAGCCGTGTGCCATTGGGCAAGATGAATTCATTCCGTTAAGTAGCGGAGGGATGCAAGTATCGTTGGATATGTTTACCAATTTGTCACTTTTACAGATTTTTACATTATTTATTATTGCACATTCACTTTTAATGCCAAATATTTTATGGTTATTTTTCATTATTTCTTTAAACTTGGTACTTATGATTCTATTATTTCTTTTTACAGGTTTAATTATAACATTATCGAATTGTTCTTTGCTAGTAAGCGGGATTACAATGATATACAACATTTTTCTTTGATTGTAAAGGACCTTAATGTTTGCAAACTTGAGGGCTTCTTCTATTGATGTGAATAAAATATTGTCATCTGTTATTTTCTCCAGTGCTATTTTTATTTCTTTTTTATTTAACAAAAACGAATTTATAATATTTTGTTTTGCCCATTGGATTGCGAATTTGATGTTAGTTAATTCTTCTTTTATGAATCTGAGCTTAATTTGCATGCTGAGTGCAGCCTCGTTTACAAAATCTTTATTATCTTTAATTGCTTTGGTTATGTGATTGGTAATTTGGGTAAGGTTTTGTAATCTTTCTGTAAAGATGTCATTTATAACTACTTGTTGGTTATTATTTAGGATAGTTTGATCCAATGCATTTTTTACTGTTACAAAGTCATCGTGATCTGGTGATCCGGCTATGTACTTCCAGGCTGTACCTAATATATTGATGGATCTCTTTTTCCTGGGTGGTTCCATTGGTTCTATGCCTTCTAGGATATCATGAATTTGGGATATTTCGTGTGTTAGGAGTGGGAAAAAGGGGTTGGATTTAGGGATGGTTTGTACGATTTCCTTCTGTACATCGTCAACGAAGTTCTTGTATCTGTCCATTTCTATAATGTGGATAATGTTAAATGTGCCGTCCTGTATTTTTGCAGGTCCACTAAAAATAGTTACGAGGTGTGACAGTGTGTAGTTCAAAATTTGTAGCTCGGTTGTCGAAAAGGTGAAAAGAGTTAAAAAGGTTCTGTAACAAAGGGAAATATAAAAATGGATTCAGTTTTTTATGTTGCTTTTATGGACTACTCTTCCTGATTCTGTAATAATTGTGGTGGAACCATTTTCCTTGACAATTTCTTTCTTAAATTTGGGTGATAGTTTGCTTCCTAAACGCTTGTGAATTCTTACATAAATGACGTCTACTGGATCGAATTGTCTGATTGGTTCTCGTTTCTCATTGTGGAGTCTAAGGTCAGTTGCCTGCTTGTCTCTTAATCTTTGAATGTTGTCTTGTCTTGCCTTTTCGTACATCTCGGGGTTTGTACTAACTCTTCGTCCGAAAAATACTTCAAGTGGTCTCTGTCCCGTTGTGCTGTGTATGGTATAGTTATATTCATAAACTGATCTGTCTAGCAATTCTAGAAAGGTAGGGTATGTGCGTTCGGTTTTAAGACAGCGCATGATTTCCGTTAGGGTGGAATGAAACCGTTCGACTTGTCCGTTTACTGTACTCGCATATGGTGGAGCTTTGTAGATTTCTATTCCCAATTGGTCCTGTAACATAAATGTAATTGAAGCCGAATTAAAGGATTTTTCATTGTCAAAAACAATAATTTTTGGAACGCCGAATAAAAAGACAAGTTTTCGTAAGGACTCTTTCACGTCTTCAACGGCTCTTGACTTAATAATCCTGTACTGCGCATACTTTGAAAATTTATCCAATGCTGTGAGGACAAGTTGGTTTTCAGTTCTGTAGATGTCAATATGAAGAATTTCGCCAGGGTGTGAGGGTATTGGCGTTTCTTTCAATTCGGGTTTCGATGGATGCCTATCGTATTTATTTTCCTTACATACCGCACATTGTTTGACGATTCTGTTAATTTTGCTATTCATACTCGGGAAAAAAAATTTTTCAAGAATTTGTATTTTATTCTCTTTAGCATTTCTGTGGGCTCTTTTGTGAGTACTGATAATTATTTCATCCTGTTGGTGATCATTTTTGACATCCTCTACTTGGAGGTTTGTAAATCTGATGCGAATGTTTGCAAAATGGTGTGGAAAGATTTCCTGAATTTTTCCCATTAATGATTCGGGGGCTTTAATACCATTTATTACGGATGGATTAAGGTATTTTTTTAGAGTTGAAACAAGCTGTCCGGGGGTGTAATCTGTTTCTGAAAGTGTGTGCCTGTGGATGGTTGGGAATACTATTTCGAATTTATAGGGATTGGTTGAATTTGGACTAAAAATTATTTGGTTCTTGAATGCGTTTATGGGTGTCTCAACGCTATAAATAAGCCTGTGTGATGAACTGTCGTCACTATGCGTCATTTCAGTCATTGAGTTAATTTGTGATACTTCCGGCACTCTAGAAAGGGCATCTGCCACTACGTTACATTTTCCTGGTTTATAGAAGAGTTCGTAATCATACTCTTCCAATATAGCCTTCCAGCGCTTTATCTTGCTGTTATTGTTCTTATTACTAAGAGCATAGGTGAGAGGCTGGTGGTCCGTGTATATCTTCACCTTCGCTGCGCCGTATAGGTAATTTCGTAGGCAATTGAGCGCCCAGATGATAGCGAGCATTTCTTTCTCATTTGCCGCGTAGTGTTCCTCGGCCTTATTCAGAGTTTTTGAGATGAAGGTAATAGGCTTTCCTCCCTGCGAGAGAACTGCTCCAAGAGCATAATTTGACGCATCAGTTGTCAGCTCAAAGTGTTCTTCGTAATTTGGGTAGGATAGCAGCACGTCCTATGATATTAAAGAATTTTTTAATTTCGAAAATGCTTTTACAGCGTCCTCGTTAAATTCTACGCAAATTTTTGCCGACTGTCTCTTGGATATGCGACCTTCTTCTCCTCTCAAGAGTAATGTTAAGGGTTTTGCTAGCTTGGCATAATCCCTTATGAACCGGCGATAGTAGCCTGAAAGACCTAAAAACGATCGGAGTTCCTTGATAGTTCTGGGTTGTGGGAAACTTGCAATAGTTTCAACTTTTTTCGGATTTGTTTTTATCCCAGCTTCGGAGATTATAAATCCGAGGAATTCTGCTTCCTGCTTGAAAAAATGGCATTTGTCCAATTAGACCTTCATATTAGCCTCTTCTAGCGTTTTGAATATGTCATGAATATCCCGAATGTGATCCTCCTCAGACTTGCTAAATATGACTATGTCGTCGATATATACGTAGCATGTCCTGCCTATGTGGTCGCGGAGAATGTCGTCCAGTGCACGTTGGAATATCGAAGGCGCATTTTTCAATCCAAATGGCAAACGGGTGAACTCGTATTTCCCGTTATTAATTGAGAATGCCGTTTTTTCTATGTCGGAGTTCTTTAGTGGAATTTGGTGGAATCCACTTTTAAGATCTAGGATTGAAAAGAATTTACTATTCCCTAATTTCCCTAGTACGTCTGATATTTCAGGGATAGGATATCTATCTGAAATTGTGACAGAATTTAATTTTCTATAATCTATCACCATCCTAAACTGCTTATTCCCTTGAGAGTCCGGTTTCTTGTCGACTATCCATACGGGAGAATTGTATGGCGATCTCGACGGGCGTATGATTCCATCGTTCAATAACTTTTCTACCTGAGTCTCAACCTCACGCCTTAACGAAGCCGGGTATGGGTAAAATTTGGAGTAAACTGGGGTATCAGTTGACGTACGGATTTCTCCAATTACTTTGGTAGTATAAGTTAACTTTTCTTCCGGTTCTGAGAAGAGCTTGGGGAATTTTTTTGCCAACGAGTTAATCATTTCCTTCTGTTCGACCTTCATGTGATCATCCTGTATCTTTATTGAATTTACACTTTGGCTTATGTGTTGTTTAAGTTGAATTATAGTATGGTGACGGACAACCATATAATTCTTGTTCGTGTGAATGACCGCATCCAATGCCTTCAAACTATCATTACCTAGAATGCCATGAAAAGATTTTAGGCTAGGCATTAGGAAAAATTTAAGTCTGTCGCTCAAGCCGAAAAGGTTTAAGTACGTGTGCGATGTGATTTGTACATCACCCGCCACAGATTTCGTAAAAAATGGAGTTTTGTTAGGGATTATTATTTTTACTAAGTTGGGTTGGATGTAATTTTTACTAGAGCCTGTGTCAATGAGGATTCTAATGATTTCTCCGCTCTTCGCTCGACATTCAAAGTATGGGAGCGAAGAGTTCATTCTAAAAAATGAATGTCACTTAGTTCTGCACCTACTTCATTAACGGCTCTGTCATCTTCCTCGGCTTGATAAGTGTCGTAATAAAAATTCTCTAGTTCCTGGTCATAATACTCGGTTAATTCCTGGTCTTGATCATGACTTTCGTAATTTACGTTGTCATGCTCCAAAGTATCTGTCATTTCCGTGTTTTTTTTTTTTTTTTTTTTTTTGGTTTTCCAACTTCAGGCACAAATGGAGGGCCAGAGGTAGATCCACTGGCTCTCTCATGCCCAGCAGTCTAGGTAAGTCGCCATTGAGGCCTCTAATGAATGTGTCAAGGGCTTTGCCCCTATAAGTCTGTGTCAGTAAATTAAGAGCTTCATTTCCAGCCTCTAAACCACCTAATTTGTTCAATATCAGTGACAAGTGCGAATACACATTTTGATAGAATTCCTGCACAGTTGAATTGCCCTGAATTAGTCCTGTCATTTGATATTCTAACGTCGACACATCTCTTTTGTCGGCGTAGTGTGATGTTAGGCATTTGGAAATTGCGGCCCAATCTAAAGGCGTGTTATACGATTCTAACGCGATGTCCGCATTACCTACTATTTTATTTCTGATGATATTTAAAATACCGTAGTACTTTGGCGTACCCCTGAGATTTTCGTAAATTTTTAAAATTCTCTCAACACTTTTCCTCCAGGAATTAAATTCTCCTGCTTTGCCCGAAAATTCCCTGAGGCATTTGACAACGTCTGGGATTTTATCTAAATCCCCTAAATTGCCTAAATGTTCCACATCGATAGCCTGATCTACTGCGTTTCCCTGAATGGCGTTCGGATTTAACGACGCCTGTAGCATCTCAGATAACTGGCTGTTAATTACCTGTAAGATAACAGTCCGAAGATCCGCTAGGGTCATCTGTCCTTGTTCGTTTCTACCAGGTTGGTTAGGAGGACTAGGAGGGATAGGAGGATTTTGAACGGGGGCATTTAAAATGGGTGGACGTATCAAATTGTTGGGATTAGCCATTTTAAAGATAATTTTTTTTCAGTTATTAGGTTTAAATTTCTACACAGAGACAGAAATAATTTATTTCGTTGTTAATCTTTTTTATTTTTGTGTTCTAACTCGCAAAGGAGTATATTTTTTCCAAAAAGGAATTTCTAAAGGTTGCTACACAGTATAATTAGACTTAAAATTATTTGGAATATATTGTCAAAATATAATCTATAATTTCTTAGTAGCTTACGATAAAAAAAGTAGAGTCATCTTCATCTTGGTAAGTGTATCCTGATGTGGTGTCCTCGTTGTATAGGTTGGATTACAGATGATGAAGTCACTTTCACTTTTGTTTTAGATTAGATAGATTTTGTTATGATTAGATAGATTTTGTTGTTCCTTTTTTTTTCTTTTTGTATCGTATTATCGAGTATTTTAGAGTTCACTTTAGTAGTTTTTTTTTTTGTTTTGTTATGATTTCAATTAATTTTCGAGGTCAGCCTCTTTTTTTTTCTCACTAGTAAAGCGGCTTGCGTTCAAACGCGTCCTTTTTTCCGTAAGGATACTTTGGGGCCTCCTTCTTTACATTAGCGCGATGGGGGACTTAGTAACCCAATTTTCGAGGTAAGTCTCTTTTTTTTCACTAGTAAAGCGGCTTGCGTTCAAACGCGTCCTTTTTTCCGTAAGGATACTTGGGGGCCTCCTTCTTTACATTAGCGCGATGGGTGACTTAATTACCCAATTTTGCTCGGGCGCCAGTTAGACCTTTCTGAGTTAAGGTCTCAAAAAAAAAAACGAGATACTTGTCAAAAGTACCACGGACACTGTCTAAATTAAAACAAACGTTTAATTTTGGTTTGTCGAAAACCGCGACTTGACGTTTATTCACGAAGTTCACTGACAGAGTGATTTCGTTATCTGTTTATTATTTGGAAGAGACTTATTTTAATACCAATACAAGTTTACATTATTTTGCTTACGATACTAAATTCCTTTTGCATTTATTTAATTTATTAAATTTCCATTGAACCTGATTTACTGTAATACCAATACATGCTTACATTATTTTGCTTACGAAACTAAATTCATTTTCTTTTATTTAATTTATAAAATTTCCATTGAACGTTGCGAAAGCGTTGCAGTTAACGTTTTTGCAATTCAAGCCAGATATTGCACTTTTGATATAGAACGAAAATGTGTTTGAAATGAAATGAAAGAAATTCGTGGTAATTCTGTCTGCACGCGCCAAGTATCTCTTGGGTTTAACAGGTTAACTACCGGATGTGCAACTTTGAGTTGATGAAATATTTTCGTGTGAACTGTATTTACATGTGCCAAATATCTTTTGAATTTATAACATATTGTGTGTTAACTTGTACATTCCGAATTACTATTGTACACTTCAAAAGTCAAAATGAAAATTTTAAAATTTCACATTTTTACGCATTTTTTTCGGATTTTATTCTTTTCTGCCAAGAGACAATTCCGAATTTGAGTAAATCGTTAAAATCAGATCAGCGGTTCTTGAGATACAAGCGTAGTAACTAACACAACTGCCTTATATATATATATATATAGATAGATTAGAAGTATGCGTGGTCAGTTCCCTAGCGCCCAAATAAATTCCTAAGTTTGGAGGGAAAGTCAACAGTATCTCGTGTAATAATTTTCAAACCGATATCTTCATTATCTGGCAAATATAAAGATTTTAGATAAATCAAGATAGTGGGCGTAAAAGTAGGCGTGGTCAATATTTTTTTCTGTAAAAACCTAACTCGGGGTATGACGGACGTTTGTATAAAAAATTATGCAAATTGGTCCAGCCGTTTTCAACTGATTCCATTACCAACAAACAACAATTGATTATTATATATATACTAGCTGGCCCGGTCCGCGTTGCCGGCCCGTACTTTTAGTCTTTAAAGCATAATAAATCACAGGTCTGACTTATGTAGGCGGCACAATTTTCATTATAAGTAATGACTCCATTATAATTACTCCAATTTTGATTATAAGTAATGACGTGATTATGAGTAATGACTCCATGACTAAATATAAATTAATATTCATGGCAAAAATTATAATTACCGTCGGTTTTAGATATTTTGAATAGCCTGATCTTATTTTTCAGCTATAGGCTTTAATTTGAGTGTTAAATACCTATATGATAAAGAACATCTATAATAGTCCCATGTGAAAATTCAGCTCAATTTTTGATATTGTAAAAAGCATTCAAATAAGCTATAATTTGAAATTTGTATTTCCATCGTTTAAAATCCCCTACTGTGTGGTATTCAGTTTTGTCCACCTCATAATTGAAGGCAGAATGTTGTCGGAATAGCCAAAAGAATTACTCTTTTGCTCCGATTACCGTAAGATGGGCATTAATTGTTTGTCATTTAAATTGTGCGGTGGAGATCCAATAAAGTTACTTTATAATTTCGTATTTTTTTCATGTTTCTGCCACAATTTCCGACTGAATGAGTCCCAGAATGACATTTCGGAGTTTATTTCATATAGACGTACATCTCAAATCTACGTTCCCAACCAATATTTTATTGGGGGTTACAAATTCAATAGAATACCAAATTTTATTTTCTGACCACACATTGGTTGGGAAAGTGGACTTGAGGGTATACTAATGTGGGGACTATACTTAAATAAATTTCTATGAGGATAATTATCTGTAAGATGATTTTCTACCCCAGGGTTTTTTACCCAGGTAGCCTCAAGACTAAGATGCGCACTATTCCGAAAAATAAAAATTTTATAAGAAGAGGTTTTCTTCCCCCTTAGAAACAAAGATGTCAAATAAGAGCCAAAAAATGAAAAAAGTGGCCAAGACCCCGAAAATACCTTAAATCATATGATGGTGATACCAAAACTTGATATTTTTTTGCAAAGATGGTTTCTTCTTAAATTATCAACATGAGCTAAAATTAGCACGAAAAATATGGTTAAAATGTAGAATATACTTGAAATCGGGTTGTTCCGTTATCAGGGGTTATGACCCATATCATGACCTGCCAAAGCGATTAAAGGTATCTAGAATGTTTAGGTAGAATTTCTATTTTGCGTTCTTTATAGTCGGTATTTGACTGATTGCAGTCCCAATGTATTTTGCATTTTGTGTTCTCATTTGACAATTTATTGTCATATGAAAGAAGCAGGTCCACTTTTTGAAATTAACCCCATAACGCTTCTTCGGTCATTTTTGTTTGTTTTAATGTGTTCGCATCTTCCAGCTGAAGCACGATGTAGGTCCTGGAGTAGAAAGCATTTAACATCGTATTGCGCCCTCATTTCATTTTTAATATTATTCATTCAGAATTCAAACCAATAAAAAATGTACACTTCAATATAGAAAAAAGAAAAAGAATCTTCAACTGGTTCGCTGATTTTTTTTGCGGCAATTTTTTAAAGGTCCTTATGAAGTTTGTCGGTAGAATGCACTATTATTTTGAAATTCGATTCCATTGAAAAATTGTCGATTTTCCCGATTTTAGAATTTTCATATAAAGCGACAACGGATTAAATTGTTATTTATAGATTTTATGTATTTATTGGGTATTACGAACAAATACATAAAATCTATAAATAACAGTTTTATAACCTACACATCATATTAGAATTAAAAAAAAAAACACTACAAATGTACATTCGAAAATAGAAGGTCAAAATGGAAAAAATCTATATATATAAAAATCAATTGTTGTTTGTTGGTAACGGAATCAGTTGAAAACGGCTGGACCGATTTGCATAATTTTTTGTACAAACGTTTGTCATACCCCGAGTTAGGTTTTTAAAGAAAAAAATATTAATCACGCCTCCTTTTACTCCCACTATTACGATTTATCTAAAATATTTATATTTGCCAAAATAGTGAAGATATCGGTTTGAGAATTATTACACGAGATGCTGTTTGCTTTCCATCCAACCCTAAGTACTTATTTAGGGGCTGAGGAACGCGCCTACTTTTAAATCTATCTCTCTATATGTAAAAGAAAGTTGTGTTAGTTACTACTCTTATAAGATAAAGACCGCCGGTCTGATTTTAACGATTTAGACAAATTCGGAATTGCCTCTTGGCAGAAAAGAATAAAATCCAAAAAAAATCGCGTAAAAATGTGAAATTTGAACATTTTCATTTTGACTTTTAAAATGTACAATAGTAATGTTTTATATTGCATATTTTTTCCATTTTGACCTTCTATTTTCGAATGTACATTTGTAGTGTTTTTTTTTTTTTTTTAATTCTAATATGATGTGTAGGTTATAAAACTGTTATTTATAGATTTTATGTATTTGTTCGTAATACCCAATAAATACATAAAATCTATAAATAACAATTTAATCCGTTGTCGCTTTATATGAAAATTCTAAAATCGGGAAAATCGACAATTTTTCAATGGAATCGAATTTCAAAATAATAGTGCATTCTACCGACAAACTTCATAAGGACCTTTAAAAATTTGCCGCAAAAAAAATCAGCGAACCAGTTGAAGATTCTTTTTCTTTTTTCTATATTGAAGTGTACATTTTTTATTGGTTTGAATTCTGAATGAATAATATTAAAAATGAAATGAGGGCGCAATACGATGTTAAATGCTTTCTACTCCAGGACCTACATCGTGCTTCAGCTGGAAGATGCGAACACATTAAAACAAACAAAAATGACCGAAGAAGCGTTATGGGGTTAATTTCAAAAAGTGGACCTGCTTCTTTCATATGACAATAAATTGTCAAATGAGAACACAAAATGCAAAATACATTGGGACTGCAATCAGTCAAATACCGACTATAAAGAACGCAAAATAGAAATTCTACCTAAACATTCTAGATACCTTTAATCGCTTTGGCAGGTCATGATATGGGTCATAACCCCTGATAACGGAACAACCCGATTTCAAGTATATTCTACATTTTAACCATATTTTTCGTGCTAATTTTAGCTCATGTTGATAATTTAAGAAGAAACCATCTTTGCAAAAAAATATCAAGTTTTGGTATCACCATCATATGATTTAAGGTATTTTCGGGGTCTTGGCCACTTTTTTCATTTTTTGGCTCTTATTTGACATCTTTGTTTCTAAGGGGGAAGAAAACCTCTTCTTATAAAATTTTTATTTTTCGGAATAGTGCGCATCTTAGTCTTGAGGCTACCTGGGTAAAAAACCCTGGGGTAGAAAATCATCTTACAGATAATTATCCTCATAGAAATTTATTTAAGTATAGTCCCCACATTAGTATACCCTCAAGTCCACTTTCCCAACCAATGTGTGGTCAGAAAATAAAATTTGGTATTCTATTGAATTTGTAACCCCCAATAAAATATTGGTTGGGAACGTAGATTTGAGATGTACGTCTATATGAAATAAACTCCGAAATGTCATTCTGGGACTCATTCAGTCGGAAATTGTGGCAGAAACATGAAAAAAATACGAAATTATAAAGTAACTTTATTGGATCTCCACCGCACAATTTAAATGACAAACAATTAATGCCCATCTTACGGTAATCGGAGCAAAAGAGTAATTCTTTTGGATATTCCGACAACATTCTGCCTTCAAGTATGAGGTGGACAAAACTGAATACCACACAGTAGGGGATTTTAAACGATGGAAATACAAATTTCAAATTATAGCTTATTTGAATGCTTTTTACAATATCAAAAATTGAGCTGAATTTTCACATGGGACTATTATAGATGTTCTTTATCATATAGGTATTTAACACTCAAATTAAAGCCTATAGCTGAAAAATAAGATCAGGCTATTCAAAATATCTAAAACCGACGGTAATTATAATTTTTGCCATGAATATTAATTTATATTTAGTCATGGAGTCATTACTCATAATCACGTCATTACTTATAATCAAAATTGGAGTAATTATAATGGAGTCATTACTTATAATGAAAATTGTGCCGCCTACATAAGTCAGACCTGTGATTTATTATGCTTTAAAGACTAAAAGTACGGGCCGGCAACGCGGACCGGGCCAGCTAGTATGCAATATAAAACATTACTATTGTACATTTTAAAAGTCAAAATGAAAATGTTCAAATTTCACATTTTTACGCGATTTTTTTGGATTTTATTCTTTTCTGCCAAGAGGCAATTCCGAATTTGTCTAAATCGTTAAAATCAGACCGGCGGTCTTTATCTTATAAGAGTAGTAACTAACACAACTTTCTTTTACATATAGAGAGATAGATTTAAAAGTAGGCGCGTTCCTCAGCCCCTAAATAAGTACTTAGGGTTGGATGGAAAGCAAACAGCATCTCGTGTAATAATTCTCAAACCGATATCTTCACTATTTTGGCAAATATAAATATTTTAGATAAATCGTAATAGTGGGAGTAAAAGGAGGCGTGATTAATATTTTTTTCTTTAAAAACCTAACTCGGGGTATGACAAACGTTTGTACAAAAAATTATGCAAATCGGTCCAGCCGTTTTCAACTGATTCCGTTACCAACAAACAACAATTGATTTTTATATATATAGATAGATGTTTTCAATTAATTTTTTTTTTTTTTTTAATTTATTCGACTTTTTTGTTTCTAATATTTAATAAGTTTTTTAAGCCCAAGATCTAATGTTTTTGAAAATATTTATTTATTCATCGATATTTCGCAATTGATTTGAATTGCATCATCAGAAGCCCTTTGATGTATTTAGTAAAAAAATGGTTTTGTTGTAAATTTTTCTATACAAGAATTTAGCAATTTTTCCATTACAGTATCTTCTGCGGTAGGCAGTTTTAAGTTTATTTCTAAAAATATATACGTTGCTAATTCTCTTTAAATTGTGTGGTGTAGTATTATAAAGTCGTACTGAGTTGATAAAAAGGAAGACTTTTTAGGATCTTTCTAATACAAATGCATATCGTATTATGGAGTTATACGCCACATTTAGCTGATTGAGACTCACAGAATCACATTTTCCAAGGAGTTCATCTCCGTATAACAATCCGGGAACTAAAATGGTCTTAGCTAAGATACTTCGTGTTTAGGTGGTGTGGTTATATTGCCAAATATGAGCCCAAGGGCTGTGTTTATGTGATGTGATCAACTCAGTGAATTATTAAATAAAATTGTCAATTCAGGTGGCTGCTCAAGAAAAGTAAAATACATATGTATGTACTCTACTTAAACTAGTTGATCAGGGAAATCATTGGTATACATTGAAAAAGGAAAATGTTAG